AGGGATACAATTAATTTACCACTAAAGAAAAGCAACCTGGAAGTCTTTGGAAGGTTAATATATGAGAAGACAGATCAGGAAGTCACATTTTCTGAATCAGTATGCCAGATTTGGTCCAAATCCACCACAGATGTCAGACAACAGAAAATCAGAGACCACCAAGGCTGATCTATAATCAGTTAACACAACTGGCAGATGAGCATCAATACTAGTAAACAGTAGAAACACAGTTAGATCGCAACTGACAAAGAAAGTTTAAAAAGAGCTAACAATAGCAGAACAAAAATCAGGAACCATGAATTTCATTTTGATCAAAATTGTCTTGTTGGATGGTGGAAACCCGACTAATTAATCTCCTCCTCCCACTTCAATTATTATTAGGTTAACATTTAGTCAAAATCACCCAGGCTCATGTACCATCACACATATCAGTTGCCTGATCATCCACTGATGTGCCCCATGTTATGAAAAATAACAGCCCAGACGTTTTCTGACGCATTACCATCTCCATCATGTCAACAGCTCTAATGATGCCAAAAGCATTACTGCTCTCTGTCCCCGACTGAGATGCTTTCAATCACCACACCTCATTAGTTTACTTATTTCCTATTCTCCCCTAAACGTTGAACACCCTATTGCTCCGTTTGATGAGCACTATTCTCCAGGAGGCCTCAAGCAATACAAGTTCAATTGAGTCACTCATTGCAGGCACATTCGACAATCATAAAAGCACAGGCATGTGGGTTCTCTCTTATTTACAATGCCATAGACGAATGTATAAAATGAGCCTCTTTGTTTCTGTATTATTCTGTTGAACAAACAAAGAAATGCTATCCCCATATTGTACTCTGCATTATAACTGATTTTATTGCAAAGTTTGGGCAGTGTGTGTCTTTCAGAACCTTGTTGCAAGGTCACAACTTCAATCCATTAGTTTTTAATTTAGCCCATCTACTGTATAATATGCTAATGCTGTTGCATGGTTATTCCATGCATTTTAAAATATGCTAAGTGAGAATTGCTAAGTAGGCTAAAATTGCTAAGTACACCAAATGAGTCATTGTTTGAAATATAAGACCGGAGAGGGTAGTCACAAGGACTCAGTATTTGAACAAAGTCTTAATTGTTCTGAAGGGACTTATTACATTTGCATGTAATAAGATTTTTTCGGATTTTTTCATAAGTGATTTGTAAACATTTACAAAGGTTTCGTTGATATATTGCTGTATAGTATTTAAAATATGTAAAAAATGAATGTCATATTTAATTGAGTATTGAGGGTAATTAACAGCTATCATTCATAACATGAAGTGGATAGAGATGTTAGAACTTGCAAAGAAATTCACTAATAATTAATAGTACATATTTATATCCTTTAATTCCCCAACTATTTGTTATTTTCATGCCTCTTATTTCTGTCCAGGCACCGTAGGAGTCGTTCTTTATTCACCCTCTATGACCATCCCTCAAACATTTAATTCTGTTTTTGTTCTGAGGAGGAACCCATGTAAGTGGGATGATCAAGGCTGCCCAAATGGATAGTAATAAATAGGGGGAAAAAATGAACGCAGCGGCTTTACCGTAGCTCCAAAGGGGACTTTTCTAAGCAATGCCCAGAGTTGAATTTAAAAGCAGGCACTCGCTAGAAGTAGGGCTTCTAGTAAGTGGAGCAATGGTAGCCCTTAAGCCCTCCACTCATTTAAACTGAGTGCAATGCTGCTGTGTGGTTCACACACTCACACGAAAAGCAGGTACAACTCACAGCTTTCGTAGATTCAGGGTTGGAGAAAAAATTTATTTGGCATCTCTCTGGCAAAGAGACTTCACAATCGCTCTGAGGTGATTGAACACACACTGACTGTTCAAGCTGTAGATAGATGCCCCACAGGCTTGGGGAAAGTGCAATTTATTACACAATCCTTCAGGTTAACAAAGCTACAACCTCTAATCCTGGTTCATGGCCTGCGCCTAAAGTTTCAGACAAAATCTTACAATTTTTATTGAGCTGAAAATTTATTTTTGATTTTTTAGCAGTCTGAAAATACAAGCAAGAAATTGCAAATGTTTTTGCCATCTTATTAATTTACAAACTTGATGAATTGTAATGGGCTGGAGTCATTCCACTGGAAATAATATAGATAATGATGTAAGAAAAAACACTTATTGATTCAGAAATAAATTCGCACATGGACATTATTTTACATTTATCTTAGAAATAAATTTCATCCATAAGCCTGGTTGTGTATATCCTATATACAATCCATTTTATATCTTATACATTATCCTACATAATAAACACTGAATGAGTGCGTGTGCATCCCAACCAAAGTGCGTTCCTGCCTCACGTCCATACTTGCAGATAAAACAGTATAAATCTATACCTTTAGTATGTATCTCTTACCTTGAAAGCTGCATGTAGTGTACCTTTAAACCTTCCATTGACAAGGAAAGGTATAGTTTAGTAAAATATGTACTTGTACGTTTTTCTGACAGTGCAGTATCCCAACTCCAGATCCGCCTCAACCCTGACCAGGATAAAGCATTTACTGAAGATTTTTAACCAAATAGGTTTTCTTACTGAATGATTCATACGAAACAGAATGCAGATATAAGAACTTTAGTAATATCTGACAAGGAGTCATATTATTATTTCTGTTTTTTTCTGTATTTATAGTACATACTATCTAATGTTTTCTCTTTGCTGTTGATTGTAAGTAATAACTGCAGTCATTGTAAGTATCTACATACAGTAAGTACCAAAAATTACTTACAAAAATCAAATTTAACTTATTCATAGACATGGTTTGAAGCTCATATGAGCTTTATAAAGAACATTTGTTGTTGTGGTTGAATACCTCATCCAAAAGTTTCTCACTTGGAGAAGTTTCACACTGTCCTTCATTATCAGTGCAGGAAATCTGCAAGTAGCCCACATTTATAAAATAGGGTACATCTTAGGATTTTAAGCAGGTCCAGTATATACTACTTACTTTAATAACCACATACTTTTACTATCAAGGGTATAAGGGGTTACAAAGGAATCATAACCTCACATGTTGCCACCAAGAGAGATATTGTAGGGAGAAAAAAAACAAGGCATCCTGTAGATTGTGTACATCCCAAGTTCCTCTTCTGCTACGCATTTCAGTGTTAAACAATGGTTTAATTTCCGCCCACAGAGTTCAATTGGCCAGAGTGGACTTGTATGAATGCCCAGGACACCATTTACTCTGCATACAACATCTAACAAAGTGTTGCTTAATAAACGGATGAGGAAACACTGAGTGCAATTACAAGACAATTACTGCTTCAGCAAGATGAGGAATACGTTAACTGTTGATGGAGTCATCCTTGTTCTGCATTTGTTGCTTGTCTGATGAAGAATGCAAAGCCTCTGTGCTGTTCAGAGTTAGACGGTAAACAAAATATACAGATTTTCAGCTATAGCAGTAATTTTTTTCTCAACACTTTTCTAGGCCATTTCTTTCTTTACTTTCTCACATCAGTCTGTACTGGATTTCATTATATGACAGAATCTGGAAATTCATTTTTCAATCATGCATTTTCCTTCTGATTTTCCTGGTGGTGGTCACGGTGGCCACAGGCTGAAAAGGTCATGCCAGACTTCTCTAGTTTCAGCCAGCTCCTCCTGTGGGGATTCCCAGATGTTCCCAAGCCGAATGTGAGACATAATCTCTCCAGCAAGTCCTGGTTCTGGCCCAAAGTCTCTCTGACCAGTGGGATATGCCTGAAACAGCTCTAGTGGGAGCATCAGACCCCCTGGTCACCTCCAAATCTTAGTCACCTTACAAGGATGCCCCCGGTCAACTCCCACTAGACCTGTATCAGGCACATCCTACTGGACAGAGAGACCCTGGGCCAGACCCAGGACCTGCTGGAGAGATCATATCTCAAAGCAGGTCTTCCTTTTTAAGCATGTCCTCCTTTGTAAGGTGCCCAAAACACCTCAGCTGACTCTTCTCAATTTGGAGTAGCAGAGTACCAAGTTTCTCCTGGATTGTCAAGCTACTCACCCTATCATGGAGAGTTCACCCAGGAACCCTGTGATAGAACCTCATTTCTGTCACGTGCACTTGCAACAGCATATGATCAGATTGACTGGCAAACAGACACAAACTGAGCTCCTGCTTCACCACTACAGACTGGTATAGCAACTGTAACACTGCTGCTGCTGACCCGATCCATTTGTCAAATTCATATCTCAAATTCATTTTCCAACACTTATGAATAAGAACTTAAGAACAGTACCTAAACTCCTTTGGCAGGTGCCCTTACATAAAGAGAGCAGCCTGCTCTTTTCTGAGAGAGAACCATGCCCTGATAGCAAAACTGCCCTATTACCCTGATCTGGTCCAAACCTTTCCAAAGATCTGTAACAAATCTGGCAAACAGATTCGGACCAGCTTATTTTTGCAGAACAGTCCAAAACCAGAACAGATACATTCTGTACACCTGATGTGAATTTAGGCCAGAGCTGGCCCAGCTCAACCTTTAATTTATTATATTCGGCCCAGATCAGGCACAGACCTATGACTCATTTTCATATCTGGTCCAAATGTGGCACAGAATCAGTTACAGTTAGACCAATACCCACAGCCCAGCTCCACATCTTAAACCCCTGCTTATCCAAGGCAGATGTGGACCAGATCCTGTCGGAGGAGCTAACTAAGTTAGCTCAAGTGTGCAACAACTTGCTTGTATTATATTTCACATCATTTCTAAAATTTAAAGAAGTGTAGCTAGCTAGGTTTCGTTTCTTTTCCAAATGTACTATATCATAGCGGGGTACATATATTTGTTGTTCCTCTTTCAGCTGCTCCCGTTAGGGGTCGCCACAGCGGATCATCAGTCCACGCATTTGATTTGGCACAGTTTTTATGCCGGATGCCCTTCCTGATGCAACCCTCCCCAGTTTTATCCGAGCTTGGGACCAGCACTGAGAGCGCACTGCTGCACGCAACCCCAGTGGCTGGGCTCAGTTCCCTGGCCAGGAATTGAACCTGGGCTGCAGCAATGAGCGTGCTGTGGCCTAACCACTAGCCCTCCATGGACCCAGGAGCATAAATATATTTAAAATTTAAATATATTATAAAACTGACCTGGACCTCAGCAAGTCCACTTTCCCAATTCAGTTTGTCTCTTCAGCTGAACTGGCACCTGAGGTTACTTAAGATATGTGCTAGGAGCAATTTTTGTTTTTAAAATGTTTGTAATCAGAAACAATAACAATGTTACTCATCTGATGACTAATAAAACAATATTTACAGTAAAGACAGTTTCCCACATTCACGAATTGACAGTTTATAGCTTTTTTCTATTTTTATTACAGTCTATATTTTTGGGGGAAAGGGGCAGGCCAACTTGTGCGTAATCAGGCTGATAAATAATGCTAAAAAAAAGAGCAGATTTCATGCCGGCGGACTCCTAACAGACTGATATAGCTGCAGGAGCCAAACATGCACTTGATCTTGGCTAAATCCGCTAACCAGAGTTGATTGTTAGAATGTGCAAGAGGAAAAGTGGATCCGGATCGGAGTCATCTGCTGTCTGGGTATCTGACTCTGTCAGTCACACAGAAGGAGTGAAATGACTGCAACTTTTATGTGGTCCAAATCCGCTAAATGGAGGTGACTGTCATCTGCTATCTGGGTGGTCTCAGACTTGGAGGTACTGATTTTCATCCCAGTACATCTCCCATACAGAGACCAGAGTGCATTAAGTAGTGACCCAGACTCAGACCTGCAGCCTGTCCACCATGTAAGTTTCTAACCACCACAGTAACCTCAGCCACAGAGATGGACTCCGAAACACCAGAAGTTTCTGGCTTGCCAAAATATGTGGCTTGTGCAAAAGTCTAATAACATTTGACAGCTCAGGTTTAGATCTGGAAGGTTGTTCCTCCTAATCATACCCCTCCAAGTATCTCCATCATTCCCAGCATGAGTACTGAAGTCCCACATGGCCACTGTGGAGACAGTAGGAAGTACCCTGTCAAGTACCTGATCCACCTTCTCCAAGAAGGTTGAACACTCTTAACTTCTTTGGTGCATATGCACAAACAGTTAGAATTTTACTATCTGTGACTCAAAATCTCAGTGAAGCAACCCTCTTGTCCACTCAGAAACAGTGAAGCCCTCAACCTGGGACTAATGAGTATCCCTGCACCTGTCTAAGTTTCCTGTGTGAACTGCAGACTAGGAGAGAGACACACCTCTGATTGAGAAGTTCACTCAAGCCAATCTACACTGAAAGGGGCTAGTCTGTCTCAAACTGTCCATCACACTCCTGCTGCCTGATTCGCACTGCACCTGACCCCCACCCTTCATCTTCTAGTGTCATTTTCTATGCGGTGGTCTGTTGGGGAAGTAGCATGAAGGTGGCAGACAGAAACAAACTGGACAAACTAATCAGGAGGGCTGGCTCTGTACTTGGCATGGAGCTGGACCCTGTTCATGTTGTGGCTGAGAGAAGGATGTTGTCAAAACTCCACTCAATCCTGGACAACCCTTCTCACCCACTACACAGTGTGCTGGTCGACCAGAGGAGCACTTTCAGCCAGAGACTGATCACTGCCAAGTGTTCCACTGAGCGCTTCAGAAGATCCTTTATCCCTGTGGCCATCAAGCTGTACAACTCCTCTCTATAAGTGCTGG